CCCCCTTTTCTCGTTCTTGCCTGCAGCATTTTGTGGTTTTATGTGAGATGACATTATATGTATCCCGTTTCAGGATGATGAAGTTGCTACTGAATGGCTCAACAACGAAGCAGTTAGGGCAGCAATCAATGCTGAACCAGTATGCTGTCCTCTCTTAATGCTCAATGTCCTTTAAGACGTAACATTTTTCATCCCATTTGATGGATGTGGCGCTTTTTTTGGTGATGGCAGAAAAATGTATCTGGGGATTGGGAGCTGTGTACTAATAGAATCCGTTTCAGCCATGACGCTGGCAGCATGATGAAATACCACAGGAACCTGACGATGAAAGGATATAGGGCACTCATTTTCAGGTAGTTTATCAGATTGGCAGCTGTTGTTCCGCGTAACCAGGTTGGGTTTTTCATATTCTTTCAAAGTAGCATTTAGTTCAATGTGATGGATTCTTGTTTCTGTGTGTTTGGCCGTAAAAAAAACCCAGTGGGGATCACGACATGTGTGTTCCGTTCACTGGGAGTGAAGCATGGACGAGAGCAATGGGATACAAGATCGTCGACAAATGGAGACCTTGGATTTCAAATGGAGAAGTTGCTGGGTATGAATATATGCAGTTTCTTCCCATCATTAAACTTTTGTTCTGCACGGTTTTTGCTGTTGTGTGTTCAATCCTGAAAAGAGTGTGAGTTGATGTTTGCAGGTACACTCAAGGATATGAGAACAACCTCACCTTCTTAACCATCAAGGTATTGTGGGAATGAATGAAACAAAATTATACGCGTCTTCCTTGAAACTTTCCGTTAATCTAACTAATTTGTGTTGGATTTTCGTGCCTCGCAGGGCGCTGGTCATACTGTTCCAGAATACAAACCAACAGAAGCACTTAACTTCTACAGCCGGTTTCTTGCTGGAAAAGCAATATGATACAGGAAAGAAAGATCCGTAGAAATGCTTCCACGTTTATGTTTATGTTTATGGGGGGCTTTCATGTGGATGTGCGGGAAGGCAAATAGAAGGCAGTCGGTTTGCTGCTGCTGATTCTTTGGCCCCCTGTGTTTAAAACTGTAACATTATTATGACTATCAAATAAGAAATAGCGTTGACTACGCTACCGTTATTTAAGACAGTAAGCAGAAATGAAAACAGAACTTCACCAACTTCTCAAGAGATTTCCTATTTTCCTTTTGTATTTTGGGTGCCCCGAACTCAATTTAACTAGCACACAACTTACATAAATTATAAAATACATAAACATGAACTTACACCTTTTGGAAAGACACAACAAAACGTAGATTTCCACCTGAAGAGGAAATATGGTGGGAGAGTGTTTTCTGAGTGACCGTCTAATACTTACATAAGATATCATAAGCATAAACTTCCACCTAATGGGAAGTAAGGTAGTCACATGTTGCTAGTCAAACGAGGGTTAAAAACGTGTTCTTACCTGATAAATTTGGTAACTTAAAATATAAACGTGTTCTTACCTGATAAATTTGGTAACTTAAAATATAAGTACATAAACTTGCTTAAAACCTAACTTGTATTTGCTTGGGTTAAAACATAATCTTATAATATAATACAATGCCATACTTACTAAACTTAAAAGGAGGGAATATAAAATAAACCTAACATTGAACATAAATATAAAGCTTACCAAATTGATTCTGGTATAATTGCACATATTATAACCTCATTGTGATGGTTGTGGCATTTGTGTTGCCCAAGGAGCAAATTTACATTAGGTTTGTACATGTTTTAGAATGTTTCAGATTTCAGCAGATGGAATTGGCTCTGGGATCGAAAGTCGAACAAAAGAGGGCGAATATGGAGCAAAAAGGCAGAGATCACACGTCATGGTTAGCCGACTGTGAAGATGGAGTCCAGACCGTGACAATAGACAACTGTTAGGAGATTTCTTATGGCTTGTGGCCGTGGGCAAGTCAGATATCACGATCACCAGACTGACAATTTTCATCCACCTGTGAAGTCTATTTATGAAACACTGCGTTTCTAGTTGAGACTACGGGCATGCCTTCGACATCACGTGTGTGATAATTGACCGCGAAAACTGCCCGACTGGAGTATATAAAGAGTAGAGAGCTAAAACCTAAATGAGAGTTCTAGACTGATATTTGGGTCTTCTTCTTCAAGTAGAGAGAGAAAGCGACGAGCTAAAAAGAGGAAGAAGAAGGTTTTGGCTTACCCAAGGCTAAAGGGTGGAAGATTTCTTCTCCGAAGGGTGATTCAAGCAACAAGAAGGAAGGATAATCATCTCACCATGGATTCTTCTTCCATCCTTGTTGTATTTCTCTTCCTAGCTATGGAGTAGTCTCCAAAGGGTGATTCAATGCTTGATTCTTGTATAATTGATGCGATAGACCATCGATTATGGCTCAAGAGGCCCACACTTAATCATGTGCTATCCTAATTTCCTTGTTCTTTATTAATTAGATGATGACATGAAGCTAAAGCTTACATTAGCTAGTCAAGTTCCTATTGCATATGACGAAAGCTCGAGTAGGATGGCCTTAAAGAAGGGTAGGGCATCATAACAGATGATGCATAGAAGCATCTCATTGATGAATTAGTATGCATGATCATCTAGACATCACTACCTAAACATTACTTTCCCTAGCACTCAATTGCATTGTTTATTTCTTTCTTGCATTAGTAGATTAAGAACTCGACATACTAAGGGTACCTCAACCAATCTTGTTTTACTTTTCTTGTTTCATCACTCGAGCATATTTGGTTAGGTTTGAGTATTTACCATCAAAAGACCTCGTGGAATACAACCCTAGGATGATCATGCATACATTATCATTAAAAAGATGTGTCTATGCATCAATCTATTATAATGTCTTATCCCTTGCAACTAGGCATACATACACGAGGCAATAACACAACACATAATAACAGTTTCCTAGCAACTTATCATGACATTACAAACAATACCATAGTAACACATGATAGATTATATAAGCATAGAAAGATTAAGGCATTAGATAACTAAGACATTCGAATAATATAAGCATCACATGACTAAAGCATCTAATGATATAGACAAACAATGACCTAAGCAACTCATTAGATAATAGAAAGTAGATGTACGAAGCATCATAGAATCCACATTCCTAAACAATACAAACTTAGTCAACTAGAAGAGATAAAGAATACAACACCATAAATGACGAAGTCATCAATGGCGAAAACTTCTTCGTCATGCTCCAACAGAACTTTCTCTAATTTTTGTATGTGTAGAGTATCTAACAATATGCTTAGATATTTTCCTCCATAAACTCGGCCTCTAGCCTCCTTAGATGAGTGGGTCTCGAATTTCTTGAAAATAATAAAAGGAATCCTAAGAGCTACTAAACACAACTTCAAGTGATTAACAAGCAATTCCAAATTATTATGAAAACCATGCGAAATCTGCCATAAGCAAACGACCTAGCAACCTCATTTTTGCCCATTGCATTCCAGATTGTACATCTTTAGTGGAAAAAAACCATGACCCGATCAACATCCATAGGTCTATTTCAGTTTTAATTATCCTAAGATAAGATTTTAGTCACTACAAATGTACAATCTCATCAACACAAATTTGAAATTTCTCTAGCTTACGTCTACTAAGGTCGTCAAATCGATTTATATCGTTGCGCCGGTTTAACAAGCAGAATGATACTACCAGTTGTACAATCAATTTTGTCGGTTCATGATGGCTTAATAAAATATGACATTTCATATAAAATAACAAATACTCATATTTAAATACAACATTTAACGTCAATATCTACACATTTATACCTGAAGCCAACAAATTACATAAACTTTTATCAATATCTAAACATTGGTAAAAACATATAATAAAATCATTTTTTATCAATCAAATTTACTAAAATGACATCATTTTACTCAGAGTTTATAAATCGATCATGCCGATCACACTGATAGTATTTATGTCGATTTCATAACCGACACCGTTTATACCAAGTTCAACCAACCGACATGTCACCAGCACGAACACTTTGTTTGGGAAGAGGGGTAAATGGGAGGAGGGTGCAAATGTGAGGGGTAAACACAATTTCCAACACATTTGCACCTGTTTGGTTAATTTGGAACAGTAGGGGGGTGCAAAACGAGAGTGCAAATTTACTGTTTCGGCTTATCCCCCGAATTGGGGTGCAAAGGAAGGAAGGAAGAGAGGGGGAGGGGGGAATTATGGAATTTTGTTTTTCTAATTGTGTTATATATAATTATATAATAATTAATATTATCAATTTCTTCTTTTTATAAATATCATTAAAGTAAACATTATTCGGGGTTGACCATTTGACTCTGGAAACAAGTTTATAAATGTTCGTCAAGTCAAATCTAGATCTCTTGGTTGAATCGAATTTGCATTGAAAATTAGATATACAAGGTGTTTGTGGAAAAGATAGAGAGAAATTGTTTGGTTAACTCATTTTATTTGACTAAATAGTTAAAACTTACAAATTCGAATGTGTTTGACTAAGTTTGACAATTTAAGATTAAACTAGACACGAAAACCCTATATAGGATGACCAGTTAGGAGTTGAGCTTCGAGTTTTGAGATCGCTCGATCAATGATTATTACAATTGTTATAATTAATTATAATTTGAGCATTATTATATAATAACTATTTTTAGTAAAATATATTTATTATTATATAGTAATATTTATTTTATTATTTTATGATGATATTTATAATTTTAAAATCTATTTTATAATTTTAAAATCTATTTTAAAATAATATAATTACTTACTTTGCACTTTATTTGCACCCCCTACTTTTTCATCCAAACAACAATTTACCCCTCCACTTACACCCCCCAGCAATTTGCCCCTCAACTTGCACCCTCCTGCAATTTGTACCCCTTGTTGCCAAAGAGAGCGGAAATCCATAGCGCCAAGCCGCCAACAGCCAGCCCGTTAATATTAATTTTGGACCAAGTCCCAAAACCGGTTACAAGGCTTCAAGACCCAATCACCCAAAGGCCAAAACAGAAAATAAGCAACCCGCCGTAGAGTGCTCGGCTGGGGAACTCATCACCAGCGCGCAAAGGTCGGGAAAAGATAGAAATGGTTGCCCTGCCTCCGCCGCTGCGCCGGCGATTCTTCTGCACCCAGGCCGCTAAAGCCTCCCGCAACCACCTTTCATGGACCGTCAAGCAAGTGAAGAAGTCCAATTTCACGGCCGATATCGTCGAGGAAATAAAAACCCAAGTATCCGCCTCCGACTTCGTCGCCGTTTCCCTGCAGAAGACCGGCTCCTTCTCCGCCCCTTGGCACCGCCCTTCTCCATTCGACACCCCTGACATCGCTTACTTGAAAGCCAAGTACGCCGCCGACCGCTTCCAGGTTCTTCAGCTGGCTATTTGCCCCTTCAGCATTCGGGCGCCTACAGTCACTGCCTACCCGTAAGTTCAGCTACCATTTCCCCCCATTGTTGTGTTTGGTTCCCTAGAATCTGGCAGAAATTTGGAACCCTCTTTTTGAGGGTAGTCGATTGTGATGCAGGTATAACTTTCACTTGTTCCCGAGGGATGAAATGAAGACTGGGATGCCATCGTACAGTTTCTCTTGTCAATCGTCGAGTTTGGTTGCCATGGCTCGCGACGGTTTTGATTTTAATGCTTGCATCAATGATGGTAAATATACTTACAGTCTCCCTAGCTAGTTCCTATGGTCAAATTGCTTATCGATTGAGATTTTTCTGCTTGCTTTGTTTCATGGTCATGACATCTTCAACAGGGATTTCGTACTTGTCCAGGGAGCAAGAGTCTGTGGTGAAAACTCGGTCGGAGAGGCCGAGGCCCGTCAGTGACTTGGGGGAATCTGCTTCTTCTCTCTCTGTTGCAGATTCGATTTTCGTTGAGAGGGTAAAATCTCGCGTGAAGCATTGGAAGAATGCATGTCAAGACTCTGGTAGCAACACAAAAGGTGGTACTTATTAGAATGATGTCTCTGCTTGGCTATGGTTTGTTTTTTTGGCTCTCCCATCCTGCTTGTTTGTTCTAATACCCTTTCCATTGCTTGTTATTTGCAGACGAGTCTCTGGTGAAAGCCTTGAGAAGGCTCATCGTGACAACCGAACAGTTTGAATCAAGACCGTGCATGAACATTGACGTTTGCAGTGACCGCCAAGCACATCTTGTGGTCAAGGTAGTAGTTCTTCTGTTGAGAAGCTCTTGACCTTGGTCCATAGTGAAGCATGACCAGATGTAATGTTATTGACTGTACAAGGAAAGCTGTTTGAACCAAAAAATTAGCTGTGTCAATGACCTTTGGTACTTGTAATATGTTGGCTACAGATGTTGCAAAAGTTTGATGAAAACCTTGTCCCTTTAATGGTTCCAGCAAAGGGAGGAGGAACTCAGGCAGTTCGTGTTGTCTCAACAACTTCAAAAGAAGACCGGGATCTACTTCTGGTAAAACGCTTATCTACATACCTTCTGATAAGCCTTGGCTGTGGGAGTCATCTCAAGTCTGAACTCTGACTTATGTAACTGTTGCTTTGATTGACAGAAAAAGCTTCAGAATGATGAAGACGAAGCAAACAAAAATATCCGTGGCTTCCGAGAGGTGATTGATTTGATTTCTGCTTCACAGAAGCCTATTGTCTCCCACAATTCCCTTAACGGTGCTTCTCAATTTAGTTTCTGATCTTTTTATATATGATGTTATGGTTTTTTCCCTAATTGGTTTGGCATCTTATTCAAATGATATTGAATGCACAGATTTGACATTCATTCATTCGAAGTTTCTTGGACCCTTGCCTCCTTCTGTGGAGGAGTTCATGGAATCTTTGCACCACGTTTTCCCCCACGTCATAGATGTCAACCATCTAATACAGGAAATTGGTATCCCGAAGAGAGTAACAAGCATCCCTTACACCATCTCATACTTGAAGCATCGGTATCCTGTACCAATTGATGTAGAAATTCCATTCCAAGGTTAGTTATCCTGCTGGTTATTTCTCATTTGTTTGTGCATACGCAGCTAGATATACTAGCACACCTGTGAGCGTGGCAGGGAACATCGAAGTAGACCACAAATAGGTTGGCATGATAAACTGCTGTCAATGTATTCAATGTTGTTGGGATTGAGAGTTCAAGTAAAACACAAGGTGGGGTTAAATCAGATTGATATCGCAAGTTTAATTGGACCTTGTAGTAATAATAGTAATACTGAAAATATTAAAAATAAAATTTAAGATTAAATGATATTGAAAATACATTTGTAATAATACTTAATTACTTAAAACCTTGAACACAACAATACACGACTTACAAGTATCTGTAAAAACCTCCTAATAACAGTTGATAGTTACCATTCTCAAGCATCTGTAACAACCTCCTAATAATGCGTCATTACTTCTCCACCATCTGTCTTTATTTCAGGTGCAGCGGTCGAAGAGGAAATTCACGGGCATAACGTACTGAGCATTAGTGAATTGTTTGCAAAGTTATGCTGCATACTGAAACTCACACCTGGTGTAGGAGAAGTACATGCTGAGAAAGGTACTTCTCCCCTTCAAGTATATGCAAACACTTTCAACCCACTAGTCAGTGGACCACAAGAAGAACCCACTGTCAGGGAAGAAATCAGGGTGTGGACTAGCAGCAACACAAAGAAAGTGAGACGTGATGATTTGGTCTTCCTGTGGGGATTTAGGTGTGGTACAACAGCTGGAAACCTGAAGTGCCTTCTGGAAGGGTCTCATGAGGTTTTCTTGGACGAGTTCCACGTTCGATTATTAGACAAGAGCTGTGCTATAGTTGTGTTCTGGAGACCCGGTTCGTCTGGAACCTTTCTGAATGCCATGACTCATAATCTATCAGATGCTTCTTCCAGCTCTTTGAAGGACCTGGTTGCTGAGGGCGTAAGAGCAAGTGGTTATGAGACATATGACAAAGCTTGCAGGTCGGGGTTTTGGGAGGCCAGTTTGGCTGATTCACTAGACAAAGCAGCAGCCGCCATGGCTGACATTAGGGTTTCTTCAGAGTCTGATCACCGGACAGAATCGTTGGAGAGTTACCGGAAGAGCGAGTTGATGATCGACTTAGACGAGCTATAAATTGTTTTCTCGAGAAGAAGAGACTCGTGCATTTTAGTCCAGCCAAGAATACATCCAATGCGTAGAGATAGAGAATTGCAGACATTATCCAGAGAAGCATGTGTGAGATGCTGTGTACACTGTAGAGATGTACACTTTCTACTGCAATTCTGTTTTATTTCTTCGAGCCTCACCACGTGATGGCATTTGATTTATGTATGATTTAATTTTAATTATCCCGTTAATTTTGGTCTGGCTCTTTTATTCTTAAACAACTGACCATTGTGTATGTTAAATTGTTAATCACTTTCGTTCATCTGGCTGTTAGCTCAGTCAGCACTGCTCATGCTCAAGTCTCCTCCCACGGTCCGTTCTTCTTCCCACTTCATTCAGCTAAACCGCTCCGCTGCCATCTGTTCATTTTTCAAACGCACTTTCCCATTTCCCTCCCAAACAAGAATGGCTTCTTCGGCCCTGTCGCTCCCCCGTTCGTGGGCTTCTTCTTCTCCCCAATACCGCGATGTCGCTTCTCTTCCACGCTCCCAACGCGGTTCACTTACCTTCCCCAACGGCTATACAGAATCCGCCTTCTTCGGCTCCAAGCTCCCCGCCAAATCGCTTTCCTGGTCATCGGCGGCGCGTCGATGTCGCGGCGGGGCTCTCCGATTCGGCCCCGCCGCCTCTGCTTCTCTCCACACCTACGACGTCGTCGTTATTGGCGCCGGAATCATCGGATTGACGATCGCTAGACAGCTCTTGACTAGCTCCGATCTCTCCGTCGCCGTCGTAGATAAGGCTGTTCCGTGCTCCGGTGCTACCGGCGCAGGTAATCACTTTCAGATAATTCGTCGTTTCTATTAATTCCCTTTTTTTTCCCGCTTTGTTTTCAACTGGGGTTTTTTGGTGGAATTGATTTTTCGATTCTGTGTTTTGGACTCGATTGGGGAATTCATTAGGGCAGGGCTACCTATGGAAGGTTCACCTTAAGCCTGAGGATCAAACGTGGGAGCTCATTACCAGAAGCCATCAACTATGGGAGACGTTTGCCGAGGGTGTGATTGATCAAGGCTTGAGTCCTGCCGATGAGCTCGGCTGGAAGAGAACTGGTAATTCCCACGAACTGTGTGTACCAACAGGAACTGCTGTTTTTGTTTCTCATTTCATTTGTGCCGCAGGAAGTTTGTTAGTTGGAAGAACACCTGAAGAGTCAGAGATGCTGAAAAGGAAGGTGAAGCAGCTCTCTGAAGCTGGGATAAGAGCTCAGTACCTATCTAGTCAGGAGCTGAGTCTTGAGGAGCCTGAACTGGCGGTGGGGCGGGACGGCGGGGCGGCTTTCTTACCAGATGATTGTCAACTGGATGCTCATCGTACCACTTCGTATATCCAGAAGGTTTCTTTCATCGATTAGTATTCTGGTTAAAGCTCGGTATTAATGTGAGTATAATCTTGTTCTGCATTTGTTGATGATGGATAGGCTAATAGAGAATATGCATCAGAAGGGAGATATGCTGAATTCTTTCATGAGCAAGTGACAGGCTTACTGAGGTCTGGTCTTATCCCATTTTACACTGCTCATCAACAAGGACGTCATGTTACAAGCATAGACCAGGATATGACTTTTAGTTTATTTTCAACTTCAATTTTTGTTTTTTTCAGTTCTAGTGGAAGTAGAGAGTTCAAAGGTGTTCAGACTTCCAGCGGTACATTGATAAGTAAAAAGGCCATTATAGTTGCAGCTGGTTCTTGGACTGGCCCTTTGAGCCGTGAGCTATTTAAAGGATCTGATATTGCGTTAAATATCCCTATCAAGCCCAGGAAGGTAAGAGCTTAAGTTGGAAGAGATTTAGTGCCCCATTTCAAAACTGTCACTCAGCAGTCCCTTGATTTTGCAATAATCATAGTTTTGGGGGGATGGTGTTACCTTTATTATTTGATTCCTTGCACCGCTATGAATTAATTGTAACTTTTTAAGTCAAAATAGCATTTTCTTTTTCCATTGTCGTTTGAGGTAAAACACTTGCTTTATGTCCAAGTTTGATATTGATCACAGGGACACTTGCTCGTGCTGGAGAACTTTGCTGATCTAAAGTTGAATCATGGCACGATGGAAGCTGGTTATGTTGGCCACCAAGATGCAGCTGCACAACATGAAAAGTCAGATATAGAATCACAGGATCATGAGAATTCATTGTTTGTGGCAATGGGAGCCACTATTGATGCGATGGGAAACCTTGTTCTTGGTAAATCCTTACCTTTCTAGCCTTACATTCTCCTTGATCCCTTTTAATTTCAGTACATTGTCAACTTGATGTGCTAGGATAGCGTAACTGCTTATTGCTAAGGTGAGAAACACTTTTTTGATGAAAGTATTGCAATTTCATACACTCGCTTTACTGGGATGATTAGAGGACTAGAACACCAATACTACTTTCTGGCTCTTATTTTGTCTGGAGAGGTGATTCTCCCTTGTGGTGCCACTCTGTCTGGCTGCGCCTTTTCTGATGTTATTGAACATTAGAAGCCCTATGATTTGTGTTTCTCCAGATTTGAATGAACCTCTCTCTGGGACGGTTATTTCAGTTAATTTATCTAGTTGAATAATATAACACAACACCATGTCTTGACAAGATTATTTACTGGAACTCCTTCCATTTCTGAGTATAGTTCCCACATTATAACGTTTCTGTTCAATGAGAACTTGTCAATATCTTTAGTCATGCTTCGGCCACTCATATTTACGAAATGTTATCTGGGTGAGCAGGAAGCAGCCGCCAATTTGCTGGGTTCAACACTGAAGTGGAAGAGTCTGTTATAAATTGTATCTGGAATAGGGCTGGGGAGTTCTTTCCAAAGTTGGCTGAAAGACCCCTGAGAAATTTCACTGAGGACAGAAAAGTGAGAATAGGATTACGCCCTTACAGTAAGAACACTTACTTTACAACTGCCGAAGAATAAAATATTGCTTTTGAATTTATGAATTTTGGCTTGAGATGCTCCCTTATGAGATTGACCACAATATATTTGTTCCAGTGCCTGATGGGAAGCCAGTAATCGGGCCAGTGCCAGAAATGTCAAATGTCTTCATTGCTGCTGGGCATGAAGGTGGTGGACTTTCCATGGTAATGTTGTGGCCAGCCTTTTAATTCAAAATGTTTGGTCTGTTAAGTTCTTGAATATCCATTCGGATTGTTCCATGTTCTGTATCACTACTCATATTTGTCCTGAGATTCAATGGACACTTTGTTTGTCGATGTCAACAACTAGATGTTCAACAGCTAGATTAGTTAGATACTATGTTTATTATTGTGTTAGCCAGACTACATGAGACAATGTCCATGTCAGAAGTATCACTCGTAATCGATTGCCAATTGCAGGCTTTGGGCACTGCTGAACTGGTAGCTGACATGGTCATGGGCAAGACTGGAATTGTTGATTCTTCCATATATGCTGTCGGAGGACGATGTTGATAATATACTGTGTGCCAAATGTATACCAGTGAGTCCTAGCAGAACAGTTGATGGTATAAGTGTGTACCATTTGAAATACTACTGAGGTTTAAACCTTGAGCGATAACGAACTAAATTGTATCGTGGTAGTAAATCAGGATGTTTGGTCTGCCTTTTTATAAAATGTCTCCATTTCTATCTCTACCTGTCAGGCTGTTGGTTTGATGGTATTGTGTTTTGAGTTCCTGTAAACTGCAGATCCATAAAACTCCAAAGCATGTGACCCTGAATTGAGAACTGAGACGAGAGATTATTGGGATTGCAATTTTGAGTTCACAATGTTTGTTTCATTTAACTCTGATGTTAAATCATTTTTATGGTACCGCAAGTCATTGTCTCTAGTTGCAGGTATGTGCAACAAAGTTACTTAGAGCGATATGCTGTTAGGTATCCCTTCTGCACCGAGCCCCCCTCTGGCTCTGGTGTTAGATGTCCCTGGGTAAAGGAATTTGTATGGCATCTTTGCAGGTCCACATCTATTCTTCAACTCTGGATTTCTGTTTCTTTGAACTATTTTCTTCTCTATTTCTTGAAGAGCATCGTTGAATTTCTTGAACTTTTGCTTGACTTCCTTGTTGTCTGTCCAGTTTAGTGGCCTGCATCCCAGGTACACCTCATCTGATGTGTGGCGTGATAAAACCTCTGTTAATGCTATACCAAGTGTCATCTGAAATCTTCCTGGCAACATATCCACGTAAAATTTATCAGGATCTCTTAGGAACTCAGCAAATAAGGGTGTCCCTTCTCTTGGGATGAACCTTTGACATTGTACTGGCCTATTTGGAGGGTAACCGGCATATGCATGCTGCCCATAATTCACAGATGCATGAAGAGCAGATGCAATCCAAATGAGAGTTGTTAGAGTCTCTACGAGTTCAGATATGGTTGTCATGTTAAACCACCATTGCTCATGGGCCTTGTCACCGTGACCAATGTTTCGGATTTCTGACCACCATGCTTGAATTTCCACGTCATACCTAACAGAGTCGTCGTCTTTGTAGAAAACTGTGCAGAAGTCTGTTACCCACGTTTTGATAGCTTGCCATATTTCAAGTCCATCTGCACCATAGGGATAATCGGGGAAGAGCAGCTCGACCCCGCTTGGATGGGCAGGGTTTTGTAGGGCCAGTCGTCTGAAAAAATTAATGTCATAAGGTAAGGAGCACATTATTGTTATTTGCTCCAAATATTGTTAGCATAACTGCCCACACACACCAAATATTGGTCATCATAGCATAACTGCTTATAAACTTTTGTTTGATGAATTTTTTCCAAAGGTTATCATTCATGAGGTAAGGAGCACATTATTGTTATTTGCTCCAAATATTGGTAGCATAACTGCCCACACACACCAAATATTGGTCATCATAGCATATAACTGCTTATAAACTTTTGTTTGATCAATTTTTTCCAAAGGTTATCATTCATGAGAAGTAAATTTGCTCGAACGGTGGGAGAATTTGCCAAGGAAATCATGTTTGGTTAGTAATCTTGGCTCATTTGCCTTCTAACAAGTTTCATTTACTTTTTCACCTTTGCAGATGGTGGACCTTCAAAACAATGAGAATGAAATTCTAGAATGTCTATTACTCTTTGAAAGAAGCTTTCCGACACGGCTCAATTAGAATAAATCACCTTTTCAGAAGATCAGCGGGGAGAGCTTGTTCATTGAATCTCCACTCTTTGTAAAGCTCAGAAGACAGCTCCATAGAAATTTCACCAGTAAATAGTGTTTGCTCGAGGATCCCACCTGCGTTTATTAGGAGATTTCGAGCTAATGCATTAATGTGCATGGTGTCTTTGAAATGTGGATGCAATAGGCGGTGGATGGGGTGCATAACACTCAACTGCCTTCGGGACGCAATGATGAATGGCTCAACAACTGCATGAGTGTGCAACCTAGGAAATGAGCATATCAGTATGAATAATGTGAAGTTGCTGAAGAAAATACAAGCTTACAATATAACTCTGTTGATTTATCTGAAGCTTGAGGTATCAAGGGATCATACTCTAGCACTATTATGGGGCATTGATGTGCCATCTGAATAATTACTGTCAGTACCTACAGTGATTCTGGAAAATTGAGGATTGATGCATGAAGAAGTAATTCAAACTTACCAATGACTGACTAGTTGGTGATGAGCTGAGTCATTGGCCGTAACATGAGCTTTAGCAAATTGCCAGAGTGCTGCTCCAGTGCCCTGACTGGCTGGAAGAAACACTCGGCTGCTGGTGGTCCTTCTGGAGAATCCAGGCAAGCTTAGTTCTATTACCAGCGGCTTTAGTGTGGCATTGCTTCTTAAGAATAATAAGGTTCTCGATGCATAAGCACAAACACCATTGGCATTTATTCTGCTCACAAAGGGCATGAGATAATCATGGTGATCCAAGATGAATATCCTCCACTGCTCCATTGCCTGTAGTGTGAACAAAATCCAGAATGAAGCTCGCTACTATGAGATATTTCAAGAAAGTTATGGGCTCCGATCATAGTATCTCCAGTTCTCTGAACAGGTATCTCCAGTTATCTTTCTTTGAAGACACCTATCTTTGAAACTTATTGCTCAATCAGTTTACTTTCTTTGTGTCTTATCCAGTAATTGTTTCTGAACTTGTCAAACTTGATTGTGAATTTCTAGTAATTCTGTGTGAATATTCCCTAGACTTGTAAGCTATGTAGCTAGTACTAACTGGAAATCAAGGATGCTACCACTAGATGTGATTACTACCTGGATAAGACTCAAACCATCAAGGTTATTTTCAATGTCTGATGCCTTGATTGTGCTCACTGAGTGTTTTCCTTTTGGGGGGAATTCCTGAAAAATTTATCCAAATAAAAATGTAGCATTTGTTAGGCTATGGAATTGTAGTGATCACCAAGCAGCTGAACCTTGAAACTAAAGGCTCATACGTTACTTTGGCAGCATTTTGCTCAGTACAATGTTTTATATCTGACGTACCCGTAACATGCTCTTTACTGTTTGTATTAGTTATGAGATATGGCGTACCTGTAAACATTGTATCCTTGTTGGATTTATCCCTGCAAGCATTTGTCGTGCAAACTCCATGTCGTCCATCCAGGCAATATCATTCTCTAAGATTGAGACGAAGGGGTAATTCTTAAGGATGAACGTCGCAACAAGCTGATGGAAATGTCTTGTTACCTGGGGTGGCTGTCTGGAAATTTTGCATTACCTGCTATGATCTGTGGTAGTGGAAATTTGGTGGTATCTTCTTTGCTTCTGTTTGTGACTTCTTTGAAAAGATCATAGGGTACTAATTTCTTCAGTTTCTCTGCAACTTTTTCCTCTACTGCTTGGCTTCTCTTGCCAGAGAACAACTCACGTAGGTCGTCAAACGACCTAAAGTCACTAGAGTCATCTCTTAACAAAGCTTTTGCTTCAGAGGCAAGAAAATGAACTGTAGCCTCGATGGAGTTTGAAAGGAAGGCTGAAAGTTTTGCAGGGCTAAACTGCTCATCTGAGGGCACGTATATGTCCAGTTTCATTGACTCGCCGCGGCTCTCAGCCAATGGATCTGCATTTATTTATATAACATGAATTAGAGAACATAAGTTCTTTTGGCTTCTTGCATCATACATCTTAGACTCAGCGGAAAGCTGAAATGTGAGAAAGATCGAAAGTAAAAGAGAAAAATAATCAATTAGGGTTTGATTTCTTTTTTTCTTCTTTTTCTTGTGTGGATACCTGCATTGCTAGAAGGCCGCCCTGTTCTTCCCCTGCTAGGGTATGGATGCCATCTGGAACCACCTAAGATGGGCCTAGCATGTTGCCAGCCTTTGTCTGGATGACCTAAATCATTGTAAAAATCGTAGTCATAGATCCTATCCCATTCCTTCCTCTCCCCAGTTCCATCTCCTCTCAAGCTCACAAGTTCGGACTTCCTCAACTCCACCAAAGCTGGAGGTGTTTGGCCTGGGAGGTAACTCTGCAAAGCAGCAGCAGCATCTGTTATCCATTATTATACATCCTTCTTGCTTAGTGATGGAGTATTAAACTCAACTAGCTCTATTATTGTCAATTTGCTCTGGGGTTTATTGTTATCATTTAGGAAGGATAAAGGCTGGAACAATTAGTTAGCATCCATTTATCTCAGGTTCAGGTGATCAAGATACAGGTCTCCATCAGTTAGTGTAATATAATATGAATTTAGGAACAATTGTTCTAACTTACAGTGTTTGAGAAGAAAAGACGCTCTGATTTTGTCTTGTCCACAGGATATACCCAAGAGCTGCAGTCGAAATGAATCTGCTGATTTGGAATTTCAACAGTAACAGACTCGAGAAAGAACTTATGCTTGTGACGGTTGGCAATGAGGAGTGCTCCTGGAGTTCCAAAATCTGCCTCCACCCACAACTTCATCTTGTATACTGTCGTCTTTACGCTGTCCTTCTTCTTGCTCTTTCCATGTCTCAGGTAAGCTCTTCGGCTCAACTTCCCTTCCCCTGTGCCTGTTGAGAGAGTCAAGAACTTTGCAAAATAGTGCCAAATCCGTAAGGATAAAAGAGAGACTAATTAACTAGTACATACTTGGATCAACTTTGGTGCTGCTGTAAAGTTGCACTGATGCTGATTTCCCAGGACCTGATTGCCCCTGGTTCTGAGTAATCACTACTTTCCCCTTGACACAATGCTTGATGCAACGACAAACACGCGAAACAGGCCGAGTTCTGCAACCAACTCTCCCGCAGCCTTGAGGGCTTGAATGAGAACCCTGGGTTTGTAACTCTTGCATGTTCTTCTCACCTCGTTGCCCCTCGTTTTTTTCAACGTTGTTTCTCACAGACTTTAGAACCTCTCTCGTAGACCTCGACAAGCTGTCTCGTCTGTGTCACTGTGTTTTGTGGACTTGCTGCAGACAAACAAACCATATAATGTTCGTAGCTTGGGCTTTGGGGCAAACATCTGATTCATTGCTTGTTTGTGAGTGAGGCTTTACTTGCTCTCTACTCCTGTTTTAATGTTTCTACTTGAAGTTCCCATATCTTGTGTCTTCCCCTTGATATATAAGCTTCTAACTTTCAACATGTTTCTCTCCGTGGCCTTTCTGTCGTGTTTTTTTCGCTCCACCATCAGTGGCGTCAGGAACCAGGACAAGCTGTGGCAGAAAAGCTGAGGACATTGAGCCAGCTAGCTGGTTTCCTGGAAGAAAAGAAGCCTTGCGGCTGAAGCAAGTACCAATTATGTGAAATGATGAGTTTGCATCTTTTACCAAAATGCCTTTGATGATGAATGTACATTAAATGCATTGAATAAAAGCTGAAACGTCTTATATTGAACAAATTTAAACAAAGAAAATGGAAAAGATCAACATAACCAAATCACTGATTTAGTAAATATCTTTCATAAAATGGTACCAAGTCTCAAATTTCACCAAGTACCGAACTTAATAAAATAATAATGTGTTGAAGTTCTCTAGAGATCGTAGATCTTCATGATATACTACTAAATTCCTAAGTGTACTAATGTTCCTCCTTATAGGTGGCAATTGGATCGGATTCGTGGATTGGATTGGTGGATCCATGGATCAAATGGATTGGATCCAATGGATTGGTGGATTCATGGATTGGATCAAATGGATTGGTGGATTGATCCATGAATCCATATGACATCAAAGGCTTGGACCAAAATGTAAAATTTGAAAAGTTTAGGTACTAAAATGTCATAATGAAAATTTTTAGGTACCAAAATGTAATTTTCCAATGATATTTTTCGTAGAAAAATATAAATTTTAGGTACCAAAATGTAAAATATAAAAAATATAGGTACCAAATCGTAATTTGTCATTCGGATCCATGGATTGATCCATGAATCCACCAATCCAATTGGATTTGGATCAAATTGATTGGATTTAAATGGGGTTAAAGACACATTTGGTCACTGAGATTACAAAATCGGGACATGTTTAGTCACTAGAAAAATTTAATATCAAATTTGGTCACTACAATTACTAAAACTGGACGCATTTAGTCACTCGCCGTTAGTCTCCGTCCAACTCCGTTAATGAAGTCCGTTAAGTGCTGATGTGGCAAACAGAATTGCCTAATCAGCCGGATATTAACCCAACAAAAATAAAACCCGACCCGCCACGTCATTATAACCCGCCACCTCATTAAAACCAACCCATCACCCAACCCTACCCAACCCTTCTTCCTCCTTCCTCCCCAACCCAATTTAGGGTTTTCCCCATTAATCTGCCGGCCGCCCTTCCTTCATCTTCTTGACTCTTGAGGAATGTGACGGTGCCGGCTCGGAGCTCGGTGGTGAAGCAAGTGTTCCGCTCATCGAGTTTGAATTGCTTCCCGACTCTGCTTCCGGCTACGTAGTTGTTCAGTCGAGTTAAAATGGAGGTGTTGCCTTCTCGTAAAGGAGGCGTCGCCATTAGATTGCGCGTATGGACATTATTGGGAGGGAAAAAAAGGGAAATTTGCGTTGGGGGAGAACTCAATGAATTGAACCAAGTACCAAGCAATTTGGTTGTTCTCTGTTTGAATCATTAACTTGAGTTCGGATTTTTGCGGGGGCTCTGTTTTTGGGAACTAGTGTCGAAGAATCCATGGGAGCAGGGACAGATGGAGGTATAGATTATTCCGAAGAAGACGAAGAATGAGATCAGGCGGCGCGATAAACCGCACTTTGAAATGGATCGCCGCCGGGGTGAAGAAATTGGAGAAGAGAAGAGAGAGAGAGAGCCGAGAGAATGTGGACCTTGGCGACGTACTCTGTCTCGGCGAATTTGAAAGCGAGACCGAGGCAGCTGAAGAGGGCGGAGATCAAAGAGCATGCCTGACAGAAGGAATCCAATCGAAGCTCCGGCTCTCCTTCTTCTTCTCCTTCTACATCTTCTTCTTCTTCTTGTTGTGGCGATCCGGCGTCGTTGTTTCTCCGGCTGGATTTTGCCAGGTGATCGGCCAGCTCCTCGAACGCGTCGGCCACCTGCGACAAGGCCGTCTGCTGCGATCTGGGGGTTTCCGCCATTGCAGCAGAGTCGGCCATTTTAACTCGACTGAACAACTACGTGGCCGGAAGCAGAGTCGGGAAGTAATTCAAACTCGATGAGCGGAACACTTGCTTCACCACCGAGCTCCGAGCCGGCACCGCCACATTCCTCAAGAAGATGAAGGAAGGGCGGCCGGCAGATTAATGGGGAAAACCCTAAATTGGGTTGGGGAGGAAGGAGGAAGAAGGGTTGGGTGATGGGTTGATGAGGTGGCGGGTTATAATGACGTGGCGGGTCGGGTTTTATTTTTGTTGGGTTAATATCCGGCTGATTAGGCAATTCTGTTTGCCACATCAGCACTTAACGGACTTCATTAACGGAGTTGGACGGAGACTAACGGCGAGTGACTAAATGCGTCCAGTTTTAGTAATTGTAGTGACCAAATTTGATATTAAATTTTTCTAGTTACTAAACATGTCCCGATTTTGTAATCTCAGTGACCAAATGTGTCTTTAACCCGATTTAAATGGATTGGATTAGGTGAATAATTTGGTGGATGGATTGGATTGGATTCATGGATTTGGATCTTAATTGCCACCTCTATTCCTCTTATAACTCTTGCATGGGCGCTACAGGTAAGTCCTAATTCTAATTTCATCCTTCATATATACATGCAATGCTCATATCAAAAGATTCGTTGACTTGAAAAGAGATTTCTTATTATTTATACAGAAGAAGTTATGCTATTACTTGTATGATTTTCCGACTTACTTGGAAATTGGTGTTTTACACATTTTATCTTGTAGTGGACCCCGTCCTTTACTTAGCTAGCACAACGAGGTAAAGTTGCATACGTAAGCTCCTCATCTGTAAAAGGTAACATGATGTAACATATCTTAACATGACTACGTAGTATCTCAATTCTTCTCCTAACCAAAATATTTTCTAGCTCTCTTATCTATGCTCGTTGGGAAGTAGGCATGTCAAGCCCACTTTTCACAAGTGTGACATTGAAGATAATGCGCGTGATCTCCAAACGATAAAATTAAACTCATGAATCTCAAATTGAACCTAATTCACTTCTACTTGTGGTAAAGACCAGGAAATCAAGCATAAAATTAAGCGTAGCCTAATAAGGGTCGAATATGATAAACTTGATACAAAAAAACATCTAAGACATAATGTATCAAATATGCATAAACTAGGTGCTATAAGTAATCAATAAACATTTTAAGCTTAATAATTAATTAACTGCTAACCATTAGTTAACTACTAATCAAACCGATTAGCATCCTAGTGATACAACATGAGTGTTATCCCCTATCTCCTCCCTTTCCAGCAAAAAATGGACGGGCCTGATAGCAACCTGCTCGTGGGCCGTGGCATTGGTCCTCTACTCTACCGTCCAGAAAACGGAGCCCAAAACGGACAGTTTAGACTTTAGAGTCTCTTCGCCAGGCTTAACATTTTGAGGAACTCTGCAAGGCTGCCACCATCATCGCCCTCGCCAAGAGAAAAATCGGCAAGACAGAAATGGCGACATCGACGCTTCGGAGGCTCTCCTCCCAAATCCACCGGCTCCCTTCCATCTCTCCCTTCACCAAATCCATCGTCACCCGCTCCTCCACCACCGCCGTGGCCTCCTCAGCGCCACGCACATCCTCCGCCAGAGTCTCCGACAGGATCGTCAAGCTCTTCGCGATCGACCCGGAGGGGCAGAAGCGCGAGATCGTGGGGCTCAGCGGGCAGACTCTGCTCAAAGCCCTGACCAACCATGGCCTGATCGACCCAGCTTCCCACCGCCTCGAGGAGATCGACGCCTGCTCCGCCGAGTGCGAGGTCAACATCGCCCAGGAGTGGCTCCAGAAGCTCCCTCCCAGATCCTACGACGAGGAGTACGTGCTGGAGAGGAACTCCAGGGCTAGGGTTGCCAACGTCCACTCCAGGTTGGGTTGCCAGGTCGTGATTACCCCTGAACTCCAAGGTATGGTTGTCGCCGTCCCTGAACCTAAGCCCTGGGACACTCCGTAAGGAAGGGAAAACTTTAGGGATTTTGGTTCTTTCCTTTGGTCAAGAAAATTGAAATGCTTAATAATGTGGGCACAATTTGATATCGTTTGTCGCGTTTGTTTTCATGTTGGTATATGTATTTGAGGTTGCCCTTCAATCCGGCACTACTTGTTCAATTGGATTATGTATCTTCTGGTTTTTATTGCATTTCACTTTGTTGGTGCTTTCACTCTGTAGTTGTATATTCTGCCTGGAGGAAACAGTGAGAGCTTGTTTGCAGAGATAGTTCTCGAGTGACTTTAGGAAGAACAGCTGCTTTTGTGTCGAAGCTACTGAACTAGATATAACATTCCATTAGGAAATGTTAGGCTTAGGAGTTTTAAGTTCTAGGCTAATCCCCTTAATTATATCGTGAAAGTTTCTTTTCAATGTGAAAAGAAATTCCACGGGTTGCCCGCTTCTGTTTACGGGGCTGGGGAACTTGCAGCAGGATGCGAGTCATCAATCTGAGAGTGCTTGGGAGCTTTAGCTTACACGGGTTGCTATCCAACCATTTGTTCATTGTCCTGTCATGTGACCATATAGATTGTTTACATCGAGGCTTTAGTCTCTTATTAGCATTTTACATTTCATCTAACAATCAGATTTTACTGAATCTATCCAGGCTTTCTGACTTTGGCGCGTCTAATGCTTTTGCAAACTAGAAGTTTCTTAGACGTCTAACAAGAGTCCTGGCTATGCAAATGCAGACATTGTCGTCTGGGAATTTCATTAGTTTTTGCCTTTATGGTTGGTCCATTAAGAAGTATGTCGAGATGATTCGTTGTTTGAATCTCTTTCATGCTTCTGGGAGAGAAGCGATAACAGTCTGAGGCTTTAAAGGTGCTAGGGTTTACTTTACAGCGTTATGATCAATGATTTATATAGCTAAGTAGAAAGAGCAACTAGTTTACTTTATCCCAATATGAAGATCAAAATGCTAGTACAGTATGAGATCCATTATCATGCTATTTAGCAGAGGGCAGGGAGCTGTGCAGCTTGAATTGCAGTGAAGTTGGGAGCTCATAACTCATAACCTCTTTTACATTTGTCGATTAGATCAGTCCCTAGGGCAAAACCAGTTTCATGCGATTGTCCTTTTATGATACTGACTGGTTCTTGGATGAAAATGTTAGCAGAAACTGTGCATCCGGGTTGCTCATTCTTTTTCTCTTTGATTCCTCTCGTTCATGACATCAAGCCCGGGCGCTGCCTAGGTTTGGTTCTCCATGCATTTTTATCAGTCCTTTTTTCATCTCTTGATCCCGTCGATCACTTGGAATAGGTTGGTTTGCCACTATGCAAGATTGGAACTTCTGTATAAACACCAAGCTGGCGATCAGTCCTATCTCAACTCCTGAGTCCCGACCCTCTTAAACTCATCCCTTTCTGTTTCCCATTTGCAGTTTTTATTTTTAGTTTTCTGGTCCTTCTCAGCCACTGGGGCGACCAAATGTTGAACTGGTATATTAAGCATAGCTGAGCCGGTGCTCTTTTGAATTTGACATCAGTACAAAAAAAAAAATTAACATACACGCAGCAGAGATCCTACGTTTCAAAGACCCAACCTATGCATTTGAAGAAATACAGCAGAAATATTAAGTATATGCGTTACTGCCGAGATGAACTATTGCAGGCGCTTTGGTTTGAGGCTGGGTTAATAATTAAGACTTCGGGTTAACTTGCAAGGGAAGCTCAACTTTTCAAAGTTACTCTGACGATAAACTTGGATGATAAGTATAGCGAGAGGAACTTATCTTAGAAGAGAGGATACAAATGGATTGGTGGATCGAATAGATTGTTAAATTTATGAATTGGATCAAGTGGATTGGTGGATTATCAATAAATCCAAATGAAATCCTCAACCTTAGATCAATATGTAAAATGTGAAAAGTTTAGGTACTAAAATGTCCTAATAAAAAAATAGGTACCGAAACGTAATTTTCAAATGATATTTTTCCTATAAAAATTCAATTTTAGGTACTAAAATGTAAAAAAAAAAGTACGGGTACTAAATTGTAATTTACCAATGATTCATGAATCTAATCAAAAAATTCACCAATCCAATTGGATTTCGATCAAATGAATTGGATTTAAATGTATTGGATTAGTTGATTGGATTTGTGAATTGGAATGAAAATTGTCACCTCTAGTAGACGTGTGCGATTGTCGAACCCCGTCGCATTTACACAAATTGTCTTATATTGCATACTAATTAGACCGCAACGCATCTTTGATCGCAATCTAATCGATGCGGCCAGACCAAATCTTATAAATAACTAAAATCGCACTGCATTTTAGGCTGCATTCTAATATAGGCCATCTTATGCAATTATTGGGTTGGCAAGGAGCTCGAATTTGCTTTCAACACTCATGACTAGGGGTGAGAAACTATGTGGTCCGGACCAGATCGAACCATATATACGGTCTGAAGTCCACACCTAGATACTAAAACACAAATCATGGACCATACAATATACTATATGGTCTAGATCAAACCACTCCTATATATGATGTGACCCGGTGGCTGGTACGGTCTCAACCAAGAAGACCATGTTCAAGAAAACCTCACCCTTCTCCATACCTCCGATCATCCCCGATATCCTTAAAAATAAAAGGTTTAGCGACCAATATCCCAGTGAATCGGAAATTTCAGTGATTGTAACTAACCACGAAAATATATCAGGGGAGAAGTTGACTTTTTCTTTCTTTCTCACACTCTAGTCTCCACTACTCTATCTAGTATCCACTAAAGAATACACGACAAATAACTTTGTCATCCTCTTTTTCTTTGTACTATCACTTCTCTCCCTTCCCAAGTGGTCTGAAAGATTCTCGCACTCGATCTCTATCACTTCACTCATGAGAATTTCTCTTACCTCAACCAGGTAAATAAATGTTGTTATGTATATCTATAGGGTTAAAGACACATTTGGTCACTGAGATTACAAAATCGGGACATATTTAGTCACTAGAAAAAGTTAATATCAAATTTGGTCACTACAATTACTAAAACTGGACGCATTTAGTCACTCGCCGTTAGTCTCCGTCTAACTCCGTTAATGAAGTCCGTTAAGTGCTGATGTGGCAAACAGAATTGCCTAATCAGCCGGATATAACCCAACAAAAATAAAACCCGACCCGCCACGTCATTATAACCCGCCATGTCATTAAAACCAACCCATGACCCAACCACACCCAACCCTTCTTCCTCCTTCCTCCCACCTCGGCACCTCCCCAAAATCACCGCCGCCGCCGCTCTCCTTCTTCCTCCCACCTCCTCCCGCCATCCACTTCTCCGGCTCTCCTTTACGCCTCGGCGACTCCTCCTGCTCTTGCCTCTCCGCCCTCCGCTCTTGCTCCCCTCCCAGCCTTCCCGCTCTAATTACCAAAGAATACTTTCAATTTAATCAAAAATACATAACGCGAAATCTGATAGGAAGGATAGAATCATAGAAGTGATAGACTCAAAGCAACAGAAGCAAGAAAACAAGGACAGGGATAAAAAAAAAAGGAAGGAAGGAAGCCAGCCAACTGTACCAACGCAGGACCCCAACGCCATTAAAATTCTGATTAAGAAGCTTTTATTTTATCATTAACGTTTCTTCCTTTTTCACGAACTTCTCCACCTTCCTCCGTCTTTTTCAGGTACCTGCCCATCTCTCTAACCTCACTTCTTGTTCTCTCCTCGACAATTTACTCCGTTTTCCCTCTGTTTCTTTTGGTTGTTCGAGTGAGGGTTGAATTTTTTTTTTTTTTTGTGTGGGTGAAGTTCAGAAAAATGGAATTCTGCTGTATGGAAGACAGAGCTTTGAAATCAAGCTTGAGGAGGGAAGTTATGGCTCCTGTGAAGTATCATCCTCAACAAAGCCAGCTGCAGCAGGATCTGGGTTTGGAAGATTTCCTCTGCTTGAACCCTAGTTCTACAGAGGATTTCTCCGTCGACTGTTTCTTGGATTTCTCCAATGGCGGGTTTAAGGAGGAAGAAGAGCAAGGAGGAGAGGAAGAGCAATGAGAGAGCAATTGGGGAGGCTGGGAGGGGAGCAAGAGCGGAGGGCGGAGAGGCTAGAGCAGGAGGAGTCGGCGAGGCGGAAAGGGGAGCCGGAGAAGTGGATGGCGGGAGGAGGTGGGAGGAAGAAGGAGAGCGGCGGCGGTGGTTTTGGGGAAAGAAGGAGGTGAGAGGTGCCGAGGTGGGAGGAAGGAGGAAGAAGGGTTGGGTCATGGGTTGGGTTGGGTTGGTTTTAATGACGTCGCGGGTTATAATGACGTGGCGGGTCGGGTTTTATTTTTGTTGGGTTATATTCAGCTGATTAGGCAATTCTGTTTGCCACATCAGCACTTAACGGACTTCATTAACAGAGTTAGACGGAGACTAACGGTGAGTGACTAAATCCGTCCAGTTTTAGTAATTATAGTGACCAAATTTGATATTAACTTTTTCTAGTGACTAAACATGTCCCGATTTTGTAATCTCAGTGACCAAATGTGTCTTTTAAAGACACATTTGGTCACTGAGATTACAAAATCGGGACATATTTAGTCACTAGAAAAAGTTAATATCAAATTTGGTCACTACAATTACTAAAACTGGACGCATTTAGTCACTCGCCGTTAGTCTCCGTCTAACTCCGTTAATGAAGTCCGTTAAGTGCTGATGTGGCAAACAGAATTGCCTAATCAGCCGGATATAACCCAACAAAAATAAAACCCGACCCGCCACGTCATTATAACCCGCCATGTCATTAAAACCAACCCATGACCCAACCCCACCCAACCCTTCTTCCTCCTTCCTCCCACCTCGGCACCTCCCCAAAATCACCGCCGCCGCCGCTCTCCTTCTTCCTCCCACCTCCTCCCGCCATCCACTTCTCCGGCTCTCCTTTACGCCTCGGCGACTCCTCCTGCTCTTGCCTCTCCGCCCTCCGCTCTTGCTCCCCTCCCAGCCTTCCCGCTCTAATTACCAAAGAATACTTTCAATTTAA